ACTTAGACAGTAGGTCAGTGATATATTTGGTCTGAGATAGGAGCAGTGAGCCATTGGGAAGATGAGACACTTCAATGCCCAAGAAGTAATCAAGTTGTCCCAACTGTTTTAGTGAGAATCTGTCATTAAGCAGCTTGATTAAGGTTGTGATAAAAGAAACAGAATTGCCTGTGATGATTATATCATCTACATACACTAGAATCATAATCTGAAGCTTCCCTTGACTCAGCAGAAAGAGACTAGGATCACACCTGCTGGCCTTAAATCCAAGCTGAAATAGAGCATTCTTAAGTTTGTCAAACCAGGCCCTAGGAGCCTGTTTTAAACCATAAATAGCCCTATTTAATTTGCAAACCAGTGACTTGTCAGCTACTTCAAAGCCAGGAGGCTGCTGCATAAATACCTCCTCTTCAAGAGTGCCATTGAGGAAGGCATTGTTAACATCTATTTGTTGTATGGTCCACTTGTTACTGACAGCAATAGTTAACACAATTCTAACAGTAACTGGTTTGATGACTGGTGAGAAGGTCTCCTGAAAATCACTTCCAGCCTTTTGATGGAAGCCTTTAGCCACTAATCTGGCCTTGTACCTACTAATGGATCCATCAGGATTTTCCTTAGTTCTGAAAACCCACTTACAGCCAATAGGATTTCTGCATTCAGTAGCTTTCACCAATGTCCAGGTCTGATTTCTCACCAGTGCCTGATATTCTTCTTTCATTGCCTGAAACCAATGAGGAGCAGCCAAGGCCTGAGCAACAGAAGTTGGTTCCATGTAGGTTAAATGAAGGGTAGGGTGATACCGCTTAGGAAGAGTGATACCGCTTTTAGCTCTAGTTTGCATAGGGTGCACATTTTGAGTGTGAACAAAAGGTACAGTAGGATTGGAAAGAGGAGAACTAGTATTAGGGGCAACTGAAAGTGAGAGATTTGGAGAGGATGAAGGTGATATGGTGCTGGACTCAGCTGGGTCAGTGTGAATAAAAGTTGGGGAATCAAATTGAGAGGGTGAGAAAGGGACAACAGTGATAGGTTGTGGTATTGGGGAGGGAGACTGCTGCAAATTTGCAGGGACAGAACTGGGAGTGGAATTAGAACTAGCAGAAGAAGTAGAACTAGAGTGGGAAGGAGGTAATGAATGTGATGAAGGTGATGGAGAAGCTGAATGATTGTCAGCAGTAGAGAAGGACATAGGAGGGACAGACTGGACACCAGAAATGGGACCAGAAGAAGATGATTGGGGGGAAGTGGGAAATAAGGTTGAGTAAGGAAAGAGAGACTCATGGAACACAACATCCTTAGAGATGTAGATGTGACCATCTGAAGCAAGACACTTGTAACCCTTATGTGCTGTGGAATAGCCAAGAAAGATACATTGGTGAGACCTATAGGCAAGTTTATGAGTATTTTAGGGGCGCAAAAAGGGATAACACGCACAGCCAAAGACTTTAAGATTAGAGTAATCTGGTGGTTTGTTGAGAAGCTTGAAGTAAGGGGAAAGATTGGAAAGGGTAGGGTTGGGAAGTCTATTTATGAGATAGGCAGCTGTGACAAAAGCATGATCCCAGAATTTTAAAGGTAGAGTGGATTGGGCAAGAAGAGTCAAACCAGTCTCAACAATATGCCTATGCTTGCGTTCAACAAGGCCATTTTGGTGGTGTGTATGGGGACAAGTAAGTCTATGAATGATACCTAACTCAGTGAGATAATTGGTGAAAGGCCTAAACTCTCCTCCCCCATCGGTTTGAACACATTTAATAGGATAATTGAATTGTAGTTCCACCATTTTCTTAAACTGTATGAACTGAAGTAAGGTGTCAGATTTAAGCCTGAGAGGAAAGACCCAAACAAACCTAGAGTAGGCATCTACACAGGTGAGGAAATAGGTATAACCACTAGAAGACGTCATGGGAGCAGGTCCCCAAAGATCACAGACAACCAACTCAAAAGGATGAGTATAAACTGTGGTGGATAATGAGGAAGGTAACCTGTGAGATTTGCCAATACAGCAAGCTTGACACATTTCTGTAGGAGGCTTAGCAGGAATGGAAAGATGACACAGTTTGAAAACCTCAACAAGAGCATGGTGATTGGGATGGCCTAGTCTAGTATGCCAAAGAACATACTTATTACTGGCTATAGAATTTGGGCTATTAGAGTGTGAAGAAGACAAAGTAGTACTAGCAGTAGCAGAATTTAGAAAAGAATTGGATGAAATACTAGTATTATTAATATTGAAAGAGTCATTACAATGTGGCATAAGATTGGACATACAGTGTGATACACAAGTTGAATTGTTACAATTGCTTGTGGCTGTGTTACAGTGTGTATTAATAGAGCTATTACTAGATGAACTATAGCTAGGACTAAGCGTATGAAGACTGGGCTTGAACTTTGACAATTGAGAAGCAGCTGGATTGGGAAACTTGTAGAGACCATCAACTCCAATAAGACCATGAAGTAACACTTCAGAGGAAGTCTGAGATTTGACAACACAGAACTTAGGGTGAAATTCAAAAAACACATTATTATCCTGAGCAAACTTGCTCACACTCATTAGGTTTTTGGTAATGTGAGGGACAAGTAAGAGATTGCTAAGTGTAAGGGATAGGTTAGGTTTGTGTGGTGGAGAAAAAGACATAGAACCAACAGAATTTATAGACAAACCTTGGCCATTCCCCATGAACACTTGTTCATTACCAGGCAAAGAAGCAGAATCAGACACATTAGAGGCATCAGGAGTAACATGATGAGAAGCTCCTGAGTCTGGATACCACCACTGATTGTTGAAGCTAGCTTCAGTACCTGCAAAGAAAGCTTGTGGTGCAGTGGATCTGGGAGTAACAGCTCTAGGAGAGGGATAAGAAAACTACACAGGATACACAGCACGAGGAGCTACAAGAAAAGGATTGAAAGAGGCTCTCTGCTGTGGATAACCAGCACCACTTGAATTGGAATAACGATAGTAGCAGACTGAAGCATCATGTCCAGACTTGTGACAAATCTGACACGACGTTTTGCTAAAACGTCCTCCACCGTGACCAAAACGACCGCCTTCACGGCCAGAGCGACCTCCTCTTGAACCATAAGAACGATTCTCAGCATTAACGGTCACGTGACTCGTTCCTTGAGGAAAGGTCACGTCAGAAACAGACTGATCAGTGGCGACCGGCGCAGACGGTGGTGCTGCTTGAGTGAGATTTACCGTCGCCAGCTCCGTAACCACTGCTTTCCAGTGTTTCTCCAGACGCGACTCATGAGCTAGAAGAGACGACTCCAATTCATCTAGCGAATTCAATTCCTCCTTACTGTTAATGGCGGCGACAATGGAGTCATACTCCTCAGGAAGCGAATCAAGTACGATTTCAATTAGGTTACGAAGAGGAACATGATCCCCAATCGAAACGAGAGATTCACTAATTTCACGTGTGCGAACCATGAGCTCCTCAATTGTCATCGTGCCTTTCTGAAGACGACGAAGCTCCGAGCGTAGTTGGCGTGCTTTCGTGGAGAGAAGAGTGTTGAAATAACGGTGAACTTCCGTCCAAACTTGCTACGCGTGTTTACACTCAACAAGCTTTGGAAGCAGAGGATCGGAGATGGTGGAGAGAAGCCAGGTGCAAATCAGAGCATCCTGTTGCTCCCAATCAAGAAACGCACTGTGAGATGCAGGATCTGAAGGAGACGGCGGTGGAATGACCGGAACGGTAACAAACCGTTGAAGACGATGACCGCGAACAACGCCGTCGATCTGTTGCTTCCATTGTTTGAAATTTTTGTCGTCGAGTTTTACAGAGATAAGGTGAGAAAGCTTCACCTGAGAAGACGAAAATAGAGGCTCCACGGATCGAGAAAAAAAGAGAAAAAAAATTGCTCAAGATACCATGATAGAATCTTGTAGAATGGAGAGAATAGAAAGGATGATGTAAACTCTCATTCTATTGAATTACATTCTAATACAAGAGAGTGCTCTCTATATATTGAGAGAGAGTAGTAACTAACTCTGTTATAACAACCTAACTAACTCTGTTATAACAACCTCACAGTATATTGTATGAATATAAATGCTACTCTATTAATATCCAAGCAGTCTTGCTACAGTAGCACGAATAGACACAACAGTACTTGTGTATTAATCCCAAACAGACACTCAACTAGTATTGTATTTGATTCCAATTTCTTCTACATCATCCGAGTAGGTTGTTATGTTTTAGCTCAATGGTTGGTGGCATGTTTTCCACCATTTGCCTAAATCATCAAGTTTTACTAATATCTGTTTATTTCCATTGTTGCAACTTTCTGTTCTAGAATGTTGGCACCGTCACCTTCAAGGTTTTAGTTACTCACTATATATCTTGCTTTGGGTGCAAAGCAGTTATAACCTAATTGGCCAATTTGACTGATGACCCAAGAATATAGATGCTGTCCATCTTAAATACTAAGTAAGCAATAATCAAGAGAAGTAAAAAATGTTACAAAGAGCTTATAACACAAGAAGAAGAACAGACATACAACTCTTATGGTTTAAAATAAACGTTTCAGGTTCCTCTTATATTTTTTTATAGATTCCTTAGAAAGAAGACATAACTTTTGTCTTCAAAGTCCCTTATTTTATTCTTACTAGTCTGATAGTTAAGTACATGGTCATGATGTGAAAAAGTCATGTCATAGACATAATTTACATTTTTCAAGAAATTTATGACAATACTTTAAGCTTGAAGTAGAGTTAAAAACCTCATGTGAAATTTCGAGGACACATGACTCAAAATAACATTTTTATTCATACAACAAAATAATGCAAAGTTAACAAATAGCCTTATTCTAGTTGCATTCGTGATCTCACAGTGATCAATGATAATGCATGACTTTTGGCTAAATTGCATACAGGTACATAAAACTGATAGTGATCTCAACACTCAAATGACCATAAAAAACTAAGAAAAAATGCAATAATTAAACATAGTACATAGCTCTCTGATACTAAATATCCACAAAGCTAACTAATGCACGCCATTAACCTTATCCACGTTATGGCAACACTTGTAGCTAATAAACACTTCCATTGTGCGGTGACAATCTGGACATTCAATAAAGTCTGGGATTTTTCCAGCAACATTAGGAATCTCAAGGTGGGAGCAGAGATGAACGGTACTAGCAACCTTGTGATGATGTTCTCTGAATGCAAATTCAAAGCCCTTGTTGATAAACACATCCTTCCATTTGTCAAACTCTGCCACTGTTTTCAAAACTGTTGTCCCATGACCAACAGAAGTCACAATAGACCCTTTGGTTACAATTGCCCACCCTGTCTCATTCTTGTATGACAGCAATTTCTCAACCTGTTGTGTTACTGTGTTTGTTTTCTCATGCATCTTGGTCACAAACAAACTCTCTACCTTTTTCCAAAAGTTGTTAACCACATTTGGTTGTTGAGACTCCAAGCAAAACAGGTCAATTGAAGTCTTTGATTGCTTAAGAGCGGCATCATTTGCTAAAGCGCCAGCATACTTAGTGAATTGTTGAATCCATTCCTTATCTTTTCCTCCATAAATGATGACAGACTTTTCCTCCTCCTTCATTTTCCAAAGGAAACATATGAAATTTATTAGTCATATTTAGCTTTCATCATAATAAGTGATTGTAAGATTTATGATCATTAAAAAACTTACCCATTTAATCTTTATATCAATGTCAACAAGAAGGGAATCAACCCACATTAATTCTTGGGTCAGTGATTCTTCTTTGGATTTGGAGAAAGGGAATCCTTTTACTCCCCAAACTTGAATCATATGGAATGCATTCTGATGTATAATCTTTCCATGTGGACTCAACACAACAACCAAAGGCTTCTGCTTGAAATGCAATTCCTCCTTTATGTATTTGATGCCTTTTATATGTGCAAAGTGATGCAACACATACCAAGGCATCTTAGACTTGAAAGAATCAAATTTTTTCTTCAACCTATCATTCCATTCCTCCACAATGGGAATCCACACAATCTTGTGTTGGCTTCCTGTTTTTTTCATATGATCATAAATTGGAATCAAAATTGAGATGTCTTCTTCAATGATTTCCAGGGTTGAAATGAACAAGAACACATCCTTCTTTTTCAACACTTCAATATTTACCTGTTTAATTATACAACATATTTAAACATAGACTAACTATTCTAGAAAATCTATTTACTTTCATTTCACATTGTATTAAGGAATTAAGATATGATAAATACTAACCAGTGTTTTAGTGGAACCATCATAGATGATGGGTGTTTTTGGAGTGTTTTTCCAAAAAATCAACACCTTAAACACTTCCATAATTTCCGTCGGGGTTTGAAAGAGCTTCTTGAGTAGCTTGTTATACTCTGCTTCATCTGAGAATTTTTTTAAAAATCCTTCAATCTCAGAAGAAAATACTTACTTTTGGGGTTGACAAAACAAAAACATATAATTACCAATCTGGATAGTGATTTGTGAGACATGCTTCCTCAATTTGCTGATTATTATGTTAATCTTTTGACCAAAGTGAGATAAATCCTGCCTCTTATCCCTGAAAATTAAAAAATAAAACATTAGTAACTATTAATGTAGCTAACTTAATTATGTACAAGATTTCAATTTCTACAATAATATTGAAACTTACGAATCAGTAGTGAGACATTCAAACTGAGTAACAATTGCAACAGTGGTGATGATAACCCAATAGACATCAACAGGGAATTGTTCCAAAGCTGGTGCAAGAGCTGGAACTTCCTTGATATCATGATGCGAGTTGAGTCTTTCCAACTCAATGATGATATCAATCACTTGCCATGTTGCTTTGATCAGATTGTTGAGTTCCAGAATTGCATTGCGGTGTTTCTTCAGTGCTTGAGGTTTGGTGAGTTGAGGAACTCTCTTGATTATGCCTAATGATTTGGCAAGTGGTTCTGTTGATTGATACTGTGATAGAAACCAGAAGTCTCCATATTCAAGTGCAAAGGCAGAAAGAGTAAGTACTCCTTTAGCAACCCATGAATAGTTTGACAGCTTATTTAGGATTGATAGTGTTGTTTTGTAGGCTATTTCCTCACCTGGTGCCTTGCATGACATCTGCCACCATAAGGAAATTAATTAATACTATAGAGTATATGCAGAAGAATTTAGATTAGTGGATTCCTCTGCCTAAGAAGATTTATTGGGAGGAATGAGTCTAGTTTGCTGGACATGTCAGTTTTCCTCGCGTTTTTTTATGGGGTAGGCTAAGGTATTAGACTTGCACCCTTTAAAATATTCACTCCACTCCATTTTTTTTGCGTGGAGTAGACACAAGTAAGAACTTTTACAACTTATAGTCATTAGGGATGATAAGTCTACATGTTCGTTTCACCCTCGTCCTATCCTGCCTTTATTTATTTTTTTGGACGGATCAAAAATTTTAAGTTTGAACCCTCAAATAATCTTGCCCGATTCTGCTTTTTTTTCCGTGTTTTTGTGGAATGGACTTAAACAAGATGGATATGTCCGTTTGACATCTATGTAGTTTTGATTTGACAAATTCAACTTGAATGAGGTTGTTTTTTATGAACCCCTAAAAGAAGTTCAAAATGCAGTCTCTTAGCATTTTAAATAAATTTTAATAAAGTTATTTCTTGAATTTATTAGAGTTGTTACCAAAAATTGGCACAAAATCTTTAGATAAAACAAAACTTAATATTCATTGGATAAGGTTTTTCTTGGTTTCAATTATGGGCTTATTTGGCAAAGGCCAAAAGTGTTCGAAGCCATTTGATGTGTTAGTTTTTCTTTTTAATTTAAAAAAAAAACATCATTTTGTTAAAGTAGTAATTTTATGTTGAAAATAAAAAGCTATTTTGATTAGCGTGTGAAGAAAATTATTTTAAAAGAAGAGAGAGATACAAAATCAGGTGATTTCTTTCTACAAGTTTTTTGGAGATATCCAAGAGACATTTTAAAACAAACAACAATAGATAATGCTTTTCTTAAAATAAAATAAAAATAAAATAATTTTTTATTGTAATTCATAACAAAAGAGCCCTTAAATTGACCATTTATATAATTTTTATTGGGTTTGGCTCCTCGTGAGTTGTTAACAAAGTTATAAAAATTTATGAGTTAGTATAACGATATTTGATTTGTAATTCTTACTTAATTTACTCTCTAAGTAAAATTGTTTTCTTCTCACACTATATCTAACTGTTTCATCCGGAATATAATGTAAACATAAATGATATGTGAAAATTTTAATGTATCTACTGTAAAAATTAAGATTAACTATATCAATTTTCGAATATCTTTTTACTTATAATTTATTTCGGAGAGACGAACAATCATTTTAGCATATGAAAATGAAATATATTAAATATATACCTCAAAATTAATTTGCTTCAAAGTACACAATGGTGAAGTGAAACTAGCGTGTGGATTAATGCTATCTAAGTGCTCCAGAGCTCCATGATGTCCCTATAATAATCAAACAAGTTAACAGAGATACAGTACAAGTTGGTAAAATTTCAACAGAAAAACATAAATAAAAACAAAAATAAAATGCAATAATGTTTTATTTATAGATTTTTGTCTGTGTCCCTTCATGTTGTTAAAAAAAATTAAGGTACTTATTATATATGCATACTTGAAGAACTTTATCAACAATATGTGTTGAACGTGTAAGAATGTTCCCAGCTATGTTGAAAAGAGATTGAGCATCAAACTTGGTGTCACTATGAACATGTGTTGAATAAATCTCTTCCAAAATGTGTTCATCAGACATTGTTAAAGGGTTAGGTTCATTTCCACTTCCAATGTGAAGAAGTGATCTCATTAGGTTTGCCATAATATTGATTTAAGGGTTAGAAACCAAAATAATAGACTTAGAGGTTAGAAGGCAAGATTTTTGATGCTTTTAAGTGGTAGCATTAGTGCCCTATTTATAGCCTTGAGAGCTGAAGATTTTGAATTTTTTTTAAACTAACAAAGTATTTCAAAAATAATATCAGTTAAATGAGATTTTCAAAAAAAAATACTAAAGTGACATACATTCAATTGACGTTCGCCAATTGAAATGGTGAAATAGGTAAAAATTACACTGGGCTCATTCGCCAGACCGATTGGCGAATCAGACAAAGGCAAAATGGGCCGCAACAATGTCGCCCATCCATTTGGCGAATCAGCAAAGCTTTTAGGGTTTTGAGTTTTCCTTTGTTTTTTAATTATGTTTTTAATTTCAATTAATGTTTTAAATGTATTTAACATGATTATATTTTTTTATATTTTAAATTATTAATATTTTTTAAATATAATTATTAATAATAAATTTAAAATAATTAGGTTTAATGTTAAATTAATTTGTTAATTAATAAACTTAAAATAATTAGATTTAATGCTAAAATTAATTTTTTTAATTAATAAATTTAAAATAATTAGGTTTAAATAAAAATAATATCAAATTAATTAAATAAATTTATGTTGATCTAAAAGTTGAGTGTTCATTGAAGTTTAGATTTTAGACCCAATTAAATAAATTTATGTTGATCTCAAATTAATTTTTAATTTTAAAACAAAAATTGAGTGTTCATTGAAGTTTAAATAATGTAAATGTTGTAGGGTTATGTAAGTCATATCATATAGGGTACGTTCTATTTTTTTTCTATAAATAAGACTGCAAACACATGTATGTTTTCACAACATTATATCTCAAAAGACTAAAGTATTAGTGCAATTCGAGTTGAGTGGAGTCTAAAATGTCTGCATTTCTAAATCAACGTTCTTTGTCGTCGTCATCAACATCTGAGGAACCTTTTCCAACGTTCGATCTAATGATTTCAAATGTGGGGGATTTCAACCGTACAATTGAGATACTATTCACCATATAATTTCTTCACGCTGTACTTTTTTTAAACTAAAATATTCTTGTCATGTTGAAATTAATATGTCATGTGTGATGCTTTGTATGGGATGATTACCTTTTCTCAACAATTGTTTTTTAAGCATGAGAATTGAATTTATTAATAATTAAAAGATTGAAATATCTTATTTTGCTTTGAAGTCGTAGTCTTCTTTTATTTCCAAATTTAAAGGAAGTCTTTTATACGTGATACCCTCCATGGAAAGTGAGCTTTCTTTCTCACTTTTCTTTTCCATCATTTATGTACTATCAAATGTGAATTTTTTTCCCAATAACTACTTTTTAAAAAAAATACAAATATAACAGGGAATTTAAAGAAATTCCTAAAATAGTTATCATTCAACATTGAGGCATCATATGAAATGGCTAATGGGTGAAGGCATAGACCAAGTCGTCATATCATATGGCGCCTCCCTTATGCCCTAAAACCAAGTCGACATATGGTATGGCGCCACCCTTATGACCTAGTCCTAATTTTCAGAGGAGGCGCCATATGGTATGGCGCCTCAGTACAATCCTTTTTTTTAATTATTTGTTTTGTGTTTTGTTTCATCATGAATTTATAAGGGTATTTACGGCATATCATATGTGACCTGTACTATTTCATTTTTCTATAAATAAGACTGCACACTCATCTTTTTTTCACAACAATTTTCACCAATAGACTCAACTCTTTATAATTTTCAAAGCAATCTAGAATGTCTGCATTTCTAAATCAACGTTCATCGTCGTCATCATCGGAGGAATCGTTTCAAACATTTCCTCTAATGAAAAGAAATTCCCTAGTTTATTTTTCAGCAACAAAGCCTTCGATGAAGGTGTTATTGTGGAACACGCAGACTTTGGAGCATTTGCATAGGGAACTGAACCGCTGGCTAGAAGGAGATATTGTTGTAGGTGAAAAGATTAGGAAAATAGAGAGGTTAGTTGAGGAGTCAGGGAGAAATGGAGTTACCCATGATTGGAGAAAAGTGAAAAATGATGCTAGTGTCCTTATGATGTTAACACCAAAGAAGATTACCTTGATGGTTGTAATATCCTAGACAAGGTGATGCATTGAGTTGTTTTATGTGGATTTGTTATTTTTTTCGGATTGTTATTTTGATATTAGGTTATGTTGTTGTTATTTTCGAATTGTTGTTTTGACATTAAGTTATGTTTGTTTAATTTATGTTGTTGCTAATTGTAATCGCTTAGGTATGCTATCAATGAAATGAAATTTGTTGTTGATTTAAAGGGACACAGTTACATTAGAAACTATGATCTTGTGTTTGATCCTACATTGGGACATTTTGTACGATTGTGTCCTGGTTGCCGACACGAACTACATAATCTGACCATTTTGTTTGCTACATCCTTCTCCGTTCGAATGTGCGTGCTGTTAGGGCGACCCTTTTTTTCCTTCGCGTCAAATCATTATGCCAGACAATTTTGCCTTCGTATGGAGGCCAATAGTCCTCATTTGCCACCACTTGAAAGCTACTGTCGTAGACATTGCATAGACTTATCACTTGGTGAACAGTAGAAAGATAGTTGGTTGGGTCCTGGCGAGTCTTCGAACATGCATGCTTCTATAGCATGGGAGCAAGGCATACGAAATGCCTAAAACTTTCCACAGTCACACCAACTCCTATCTAGTTCTACTCAGTAACATCCCCTAGGCCTTCCTTCATTATGATCAATTAACTCTACAACACTGAACCAACCATAATTACGGTCAAAGATTGTGACCACATGTGTGTTGGCTTTGGCAGCTTCGTCTTTCATGAATTTCATTGAACGATTACTGTACAGCTGACCAAATTATAATACTAAACCCCACTTTGTACTTCTGTTATCAAAGAGTGCCCCAAGCCTAAAATATGTTGCATTTACCAAGGCAGTTATCGGTAGATTTTGGATTCCCTTGAAAACAAATTTCATTGATTCAACGAGGTTAGTTGTCATGTGGCCTCATCGCACCCTATTATCGTATGCCCTTGTCCATTTCTCTTTATGAATATTACCAATCCATCTTAATGCATATGTGTTTGTCAGTCTGATCTCGTCATGGTAGTGTTTGAATGTGGGCTCTGTTAGTGCCTACCCTGCGTTCACAACCTTCTTCCTTAGCGTTTTGTCTTTGATTTCCCACATGAAGTTTTGGGCGATAGGTCTTATGCAATACACATAGTTTGAGGGAGGATCCTGCCAACCGTTATCAAGATTCTTGTATGCACTCTCGATTGATGGGTGTCTATCAGAGATCAAACATAAGTTAGGTTGGGGAGAAACGTATAAGCGGAGATTTTTTAGGAAAAACTCCAACCCCCAACAGTCTCCCCTTCAACTAGAGTGAAGGCTATTGGAAAAATGTTGTTGTTCCCATCCTGTGCCATAACCATGAGTAGCGTGCCCTTATATTTCCCGTACAACCATGTGCCATCAACTTGAATAATAGGTTTACAGTAAGCAAAGCCTTTGATACATGGTTCAAACGCCCAGAAGAGTCTGCCAAAAATGTCATTTCCACTGGCGCAAGTCTCGTCTAGTATATATGTCTGACACTGTCTCCAAGATGGCAACAGTCCCTGGAGAATATTGTTTAAGTGCCACCAAGTATTTTGGAAGTTCTTTGTAAGACTCCTCCCAATTTCCAAACATTGTTTCAACCGCCTTAGTCCTACCTATCCATGATTTCCTGTACGAAGGAGTGTAATTGTATCTTTGAACCATATGCGAAATTATGGTACTCACCTTCAAAGAAGGGTTGTCACTAATGATCGACAAAATTTTATCACAAACAAATTGAGAGCTGAGCTTGCGATGGTCGTGCATTAGATTCGTGATTATACAAGTGTGCCCTAGATCGATTGACCCTATCTTCCATGAGTCACTTCTCTTCTGGAAAGACGTTGTTAATCAAAACGGGCACACCTCGTTACAGAAATAGATCTTATACAGAGTCGAATTTGTTCTATCGATTCTATAATCTCCTGATAAGTCCATGTGATATTGTTTTATTGGTCGGACACAATCTTCTTTTGTACGAAAGTTGTCTCCCTCTTTTAATAGTCCTTCTGTTGGTAAGTATGAATTGTAAATAATATCTGTTGTGGGTTCATCGTCACCTAAGTTGAAACTTGTCATATATTGAGGTGGACAATAAACATGATTGGCTGGTATTAAGTCTTCCTCATTGTTTACCATGTCGTCAACAATGACTTTAGCTACTTCTTATTCTTCATCAATGGCATCGACTTCAGGTTGTTCGTCATCAGATTCGTAAAAAAATTGAGAAGAATCGAGTTGTTGAGACAATTGTTTTTGTTGTAACGTCATATATATAGCTCAATATCTGAGAAACCAGAATACTCATTGTTGCACCCCAAATTTTGACCCCTTAGATCCTCATCATCATTTTAGGATCATATTCATTTGATTATCTAACCTTAACCCATTTCAAGTTTATCTTTGTCAAGATGCAGATGAATCAGGATTCCGTACCGTAAAAAATCGAGGCTTCGATGGTTTGATCAATCAATGTTTTGGATTGATTTAACTATAAACAATATCAAGGATACTACATCGGGTCAAGTATGAACCCAATTTGAGGTTGTCATCCAGGAATTAAGAACAATGCAGTTCAGGATACCCGATTAGGGTTTTCGATTAGGAAAAGTCAACTGTAGTTTGACTTTTGATTTAAAAGGTGTTCCAATGGTGGGATCATGGTCCATGAAGTTCCTATGGCATTCTAAATTGGATTTTTTATAATGAAATTCAACTATTCATTAGTTTTTTTTATTTTATTACAAACAGAAACTTCTTACAAATATCAAGAATATTTGTATATCTTTCTTCAAATAGAAATACTACTGTTATCATTTTTTGATCAAAAAAAAGCCCTTTATCAGATTTGAACCGATGACTTACGCCTTACCATGGCG